AGCTTTATTGCTTTGTTAATTGTACCATAAAGTGTTTACAGATTCACCAAAGCTTTAAGAGGTAGTAGGTAAAAATTTATATTTTTGTCCAAGAATGGTCCGGGACATTTAAAGTGATGGACACAGACACGGACAGTCCGTGTCCATGTCCGCGTCCGCTGACAACACTGATTATAATGGTTCATCTGATAAGGTAAAACTTGATATCAATATCTTATGAATGAATGTTTATACAGTAAGTTTATTATCATATCTCAATAGGCTTCGTTGGTTTCAAATATATTCAAATCATTTCATAGTTATCAAAAAAAAAACCAAAAACTCATCAAGCATTCATGTAAGTTCAACATCATTGTTTTGAAGCAGATCAATCCATGTTCATTAATACTGTACTTTTTATTCAATTGGTATTTTAGGCCTGCATATTGGGGGGTATTAGATTTGACAAAAGAAAGTCTAGATGGAAGTGGTTTGAAAGATCAAGAAATTCAAAACTTGTCACAAGATTTTTCAAATTGTATATGTTGGAAGAAGGTTTAAGGTTTCTGCTCGAAACTGCTTCTATTAGTAGCCAAAATTGCCCAAACTAGTTTGGGCTTTGAGAAAACACTTTAAACCAGAAACCTTAATCTGCACCAGAAAATGTTCAAAGATATTTTGATAATAACTATAATAATTTAGATAATGATCATACTATTAAAAAATTAGATGTCAATATTCAATTCATGTATGTATTTTATGAATTATATTTTCTGTTTATCTATTATGTTAACATTTTGTATTATTATATAGGAAAGACAAAATGATTTATCTGCAAGAAATGACAACAGAGGAAGAGTTAAAGATGTGCACAGCAGATGGTCTATTGGTGGTCCATTGGGTCCATTAGTGTAACACTTTAACCATATTTAGTATTTTACTAATGACAATGGACCAGTCCAAATCCATCTGTTTTCAATGGACCAGTCGATTTGCCAACCCTGGTACACAGCATTGCCTTTATTTGTTGGTGTTTTTGAGTCTGATCATATAAGAACTAAATGGTAAATAATTTACAATTTTTTCTTGACAATCCTAAACATTTGAAATGCTATTAAAACTGTTAAAAAATTTTCAAATATAGGGGAGAAATACAAGCTATTGCAACAAATAAGACATGTAATGAAAATGTGAATCCTTTTGTCAGGGCAAGGATTGGAAGACGTGTCAACATGAAAGGGACTCTCACAAGGACTGCAAATAAATTCAAAGTTATCTATGGTGAAATTTCAGGAATTTATGCTTGGAATATATAATTTTTTATTCTTTAAACTCTCTTATTCAAAACTCTTTAAAGTAAATCCCTTAATATTATTATTACTGGGTTATAAAACATAAAATATTATTTGTCAAATAACAACTCATTGTTTTATTGTAATAATCCAAATAACTACTATGATTATGTTTAATATTGAATGATCAAGTAATTTAATTATTGTAAAATTACAAAAGCTATCTTTATTAATTTAGATTGATGTCCTTATATACGAATTACATAGATTGATAATATAAATATAATATAAATAATAATACTCTTAATATCCTTATCAATCTACCTGGATGATTATAGGACATAATCAATAATAATAAATATAAGATATTAAAGGCAACGTGAAATAATTTAACGTTAATATTAATTGAATGTTACATGGATATTTTTATGCATCATTTCATGCAAGACAAAAATATTGTTATAGTAAGTTAAAGAAAAGGATATTCATCAGATATCTTAATCCAGCGATTCAATATGAGATACGAACCTAGTGGAGGCATTCAAAATCGCAAATGCATCTCATGCCTTAGAAAAGAAAACTATCTACAAAAAAGCAGGACACTGACTATAGGAATCTCTAATAAGTTAAAGGCCCTGATAATAAAATTGAATACAACACTTTAGATTAATTTTCTTACATGGAGGATATTGAATGATCCAAAAAATGAGATGAAAACAAATCACAGGTAAGAAGCAATCACATTACAGTTGTGGTGTTGAGCAATTTTCAACATTTCACTTTGTCTGGTTTTGTTGCAAGCATGCCCCAATTAATCTTATTTCACAGTGTCGATCAATATGAAGCAAGCAACAGAAAATAAATGAAAAGAATTTAAAGTTGTAAGTGGTATACCAAATGTCTCTCAAATAGAACGAAAATAATTTTTTGATTTTTTGTGTAATTTTTTATGCAATTTGTTCATTACCTTTCTCTTCATTGAATTCACGTAGTTTCTTTCACTCTTCCAATAACTCTTTTCCCGATCGTCTCTATCCTCCCCCAACTTTTTCTTTTCTTCGATTAATCTGTCTCTTGATCCTCCCCCCTTCGTTCTTTCATTATTCGTTCTCCAACTTCTCCTCCAACTCGTTCAACTTCTTCTCCTCCCCTCATCCCTCCTCGAACTTTCCAACCCTCCTTCGCATCTTTTGCTTTTTTCAATAGTTGACATTTTTTATTTTTGTAAGTAAAGAAAGTATTTTTCTATTACTATGTATTAACAATGGAAAAAAAAAATAATATTTTAATTAAAATAATATAAAAAATGTCAGTCTTGCATGGGAGGAAAATACTTGGAACTGTTGTACGTGAAAATGAAATTATGTGAATTCGCAATTCACATATGTGAAATTCAAATTAGCCAATCAGAATTTCACCCCACTCCATAATATTTCAATTTCACATACAACAGAGCCAAAGTATTAGTATTAGTATTAATATTAATATTAATAGTTGGTAAAAAATTGCCCCTGTAATTTTATAATCTTGATCTGCATATTTGACCGACCACCCCAATGCACACTGAAAAAATTTGGATATAAAAAAAATGTGGTCTTTCATCGAATACATTTTTATTTTGTTTCCATCCCTCTCCAATTCGCCTGAAAACGTGTATTTAATTAAGTCAATTATCATTGCAATATTTTTTATAAGTTTTTTTTACTTGATGGGGAATTCAAGACTTTTTGGTAGAAATAAATTTTTACCTCAAGGAAAGGTAGTAGTAGTACTCACTGTTTAATGTTTAACATTTTACGATATTAATATCTTAACTTTTTTAGTTTTATAAAATAATAAGCAATTCGTATTATTGTTATTATTAATTTTAAAAAGCATGCATATATAACAGGTGGTAGTAGAGGACTTGGTAAAGAGCTTGCAAAACTATTGGCTTCTAAAGGTGCACATGTCACGATAGTTGCTCGTGAATATGATGATTTAAAGATAGCTTTAGAAGAAATTAAAGGTGTAAGTGTTGATTTTAAATTTTCTTTAATTTTTTTTCTTTTACAACATAATAATTCCTTATTATTGTTATTATTATTATTTTAATTAAAAAAAAAAAGGTAGCCAAGTATAGAAATGATTATGAATCGTTGGTATTCAATATTGTTTCAGCAGATCTTACCAAGTATGAGGAATCAGTTCGTGCACTTAATGAAGCATCTGCTAAACATGATGGAAAAGTTCCTGATTTTATTTTTTGTTGTGCTGGTATGTAAATAATGTAATATATAATGTTTATAGAGTTTTTTTTTAAAATTTTATTTTTATAAGGTTCTTGTAGACCTGGCATGTTTATAGAACAACCAATTTCAGATTTTACATTTGGTATGCAATTGAATTATTTTGGAAGTCTATACACTGTGCATGTAATTAATATATATTATGATCAATTACCATTAGCATTACAATTATATTTATTTATTCATTCATTTATTTGTCAGTCTAAATGTTTTCTCATATATATATATAATTCAAGGAGGCTGTTAAAAAAATGGTTCAGCAAAGTGTTAAAGGAAAAATAATTTTTGTTAGTAGTTGCGCTGGGTTGATGGGATTTGTAGGATTTTCTCAATATAGTCCAAGCAAACACGCACTTAGAGGTATGTACTTGCTTGTTCGACCAATCAAATTTTGGTTTTGATTTTTGATTTTGGAAAGAGTGAATGTAAAATCAACAAATAAATTAATTTTTGGGTTAAAGGATTGGCTGATTGTTTAAGGAATGAATTGATTTTATATGATATTGGTGTTCATTGTTATTTCCCCGGCACGATAGATTCTCCTGGTTTAGTTGAAGAGGTATGTACATCATTTTTTTGTATTTTAGTTTTTAATTGCAATAATATTTTCCCTGACTTCTTGATTATTAGAATAAGACTAAACCAAAGGTGACCAAGGAAATTGAAGGCGATGATAGTCCAATATCACCTAGTCAAGCAGCTAAAGCTTTATATAAAGGTAACTTGTTATTATAAATTTTAGAAAGAAGAATGTATTCACAATTATTTATTTTTACTTTTATTTTTTAAAACAGGACTTTGCCGTGGTGAGTTTTTTATTACATCAGATTTTATATCAAATATTTTTAGAACTTCAATGAGGGGAATATCACCAGGAAATAATTTCATATTGGACTTTCTTACTTCCGGACTTGGATGGGTAAAATTTTCATATATTTTTTTTTAAAAAAAAAATTTTTTTATTTTAAATAATTAATTTCTGCTTTTGGTAAATTTAAAAGATTGCATTGTCACCTACTAGATGGTGGATGGACGGAAAAGTTAAAAATTTAAAGCCAAAGAAAATCGAGACTTCAATTAATAATGAATGATGATAATGATTTTTCCTTCTTGTATTATTTATCATGTTTATTTATACAATAATTATAAATTTACACATATTGATATTAATATTAATTTTTATGCCGGATTGATATTTATTTCATCGTGAGTTAAATGTAAACCCCCCCCCCCTCCCCCGTGAATGCAAACATGGATATGACGCCTGAGAAATCACGTCGATTATTTTTTATGAATGAATTCGCTAATACTAATTACTAATGCTAACAATAAAACTCGTAGGGTATCCGCCATTCGAAGGCCAAAAACTTTTAAGATGTTGGTGCTTTGCGCGTTTTTTCTCTCATTTACATTAATCGAATATCCGTCGGATCCAAATCTCAAATGTAGATCAAGTTTTTTTTATTTATATTTGATCATCCGAAAATTTCCCATTACTATCCGTCGGATATCAAATATGAAAATTTTTTTGATTATCTTTCTCAGGATACAATTATCTATGTAAAAGAAAGTAAAATTATGACGAATGATAAATAGTAATTAAATATATGAATCACATACATAACAGCTCGTTCAGTATATATACATGTATATATATTATTGGAATTATAATTTGCTAAGCAAATATTTATAATTATATATAAAGAAAAATGATGATACAAGTTTATGATCTTGAGAAATTTTCAATGAAAATTTTTTTCTTATTTTCCAATAATGATAATAATAACAATTTATATTTAAATATATATGTGAAGGGGAAATGATGATAAAGCCACAAATGGTAAGAATTTTGTTTTATTTTTTTAGTAAATAAAATTTCATTAAAGAAAAAAGCCTCTAATTTTGAGGCTTATATATATAAAAAAAAAGTGGGAAAAACTTTTTTTAAAGATTAGTTGATTAGTTGATAAATTTTTTCTTTTTTTCTTTTTCTGTTTGATAATTAATTATGTACAAAATTCTGAAAATCGTTTAGAAAAAATTTAAAAATTATTTTAACCTTTAAGAAACAATTAATACATAGGATCAAGTATATAATAAATATAACAATAGTAAAAAGAAGGTAATAGATGATTAAATGCGTATCATGAAAATATATGAAACGCGTGAAATTATTCAATCATTTTGTTTTTTTTTGAATTTCATACAAAATATTAATAACAAGAAAAAGAAAGAAAAAAAAGACTAGGAAAAAAGAAAGACAGTAACAACAATAACAAACAGTAACAACAGTAACAACAAATAATAAAATAATAATTATCAACATTAATAATCAAATATTATTAAAATAATAACAAATATAACAATTACAATAATAATTACTACTAATAATATATATAAATGTATCATCTTTCACCTAAAATACCCACACCACATCGAAAACCAGATGATAATAATGATGATAATGCCAAGGATAAACCAGAAATAAAAACAAAAAAAACTATCAAAGATCTAGCTAAAATAGACACGACAATAATAACACCAGCGACGACGACATCTACATCTAGTCTAAGCACACCAGCAAAAGTAGTTGATTTGCCAGCTCGTAGAATATCAACTTCTGAAGCTAGCACACAGACAAATAAACCTCGCGTATCACCTGAGGAAATTGAATGTTTATTAGCACTTAAAACATTGCTTCTTAAAAGTAAACGATTAATGGAAATTTTTACATATTGTCGTTTAGCGTTGGTGATAACTTTATATATTTTGATTACGTTTGATATAGTCTTGATCTTAAATAGTATTGCAAAAGAACTTTGGGTGGAGATTTTAACACAAGTAAATATTTATTATTTTTATATTTAAAGATTTATAATTATTATATAATTACAAATTATTTTTTTTTCCTTTCAAAAATTAAGGTAGTGAATGGTGTATTCACATTGTTAACATTAATAGTTCACCCAAAAAGGATTCGTAATTTACCAAGAGCTATAAAGATATTAATTGGATCACGTAAAAGAAATCAAAGATTGGATGAGGAATTACCATTAGATGTGAAAATCACTCAAAAACTTGTAAATGAATCATACGAGTGGTATATTTATGAAGGTGATAAATCTCTTATTTGCTCGCCAATAAAGCTTTGTTTGGTTCTAACTTTATGGAATATAGGTAGCTTATCACAATATGGCATTTGTGGTTAGTAGTAAATCTGTAAATTTTTATTGTTATTAATGTTGTTATTATTATTATTTCATTAATTAAATTTAATTGTAATAATCATTTTTTAAAAAATATTATTATTATTATTATTTAGCAATTTTATTGCTCTTTCCACCAATAGCAAGACCTATTACAGTTTATATCGCACTGGGTGTAGTTAGTATAATTTGTGAAATAGTACCAATTCCAATTGTAGTGATTCAATTTCAACGTGCAAATACTGCTAGATTTATGGACACACAAAGTAGACTACTGCCAACCAGAAAAAATTCGAGATTTAATCCATAATATAAATGTATTGAAATAAAACGCATATATTATATGTTTATTATTGTAAAGTAGAAAAAGAAATTAATTATAGTTTTCTAGAATTACATAAATTATTTTTTAAATAATTTTCAGAGAGATTTTTCTTGTAATAATAATAATATAATCGCCATTTGATTAAATAAAGAATAATGAAAAAATGGAAAAAAACGAAAAACGCTGGTGCAATATAATTGATTGATAATCATCCATCACAAAAAATAAGACGATGTTTTATCCTAATAATAATAATAAAAAAGATAAACATATATATATATATATATAATTATATGATTTCCAAAAAAATAATTTTAAAAAAAATTTTACTTTTCTTTCCAAATTCATTTGTTGGGATGGTCCATCTCTTTCATTTTCAGGCGCTGCATCAAATACATTGAAGAATCTTTCTCCATTAACACCAACTTCTAAAATTGATGCCATATTACCACATCGATAACAATAATTAGGGGCTGACCAAACTGTCGATAGACAATCATTATATAAAACCTATATAAAATAGTTTTTTGGATTTGAATTTTTTTTAAAATTTTAAAAGTTACAACAGGAATTTAAAAAATAAAATTCATTACTTGATATCCTTCCATGCATAATTGATGAGCGCGTAATATATGTTCCATTTTATTAATTTCAAGAAATCTATTAACAACTTGTCCACCAAATGTGTAACCAGCGCCTCTATAAAAAATCAATCAAAAAATTTGAAAACTTGAAAAATGACAAACAAATAATTAATTTTCAAAAATAAAAATAACCTTGGTGAAATGGCGAATTCATCTTTTTCGGGATCAGGATCCGACCAAACCAAATCTGCCATAGGCCCTTCATGAGGAATTTCTTTATTTTTTTTCAATAAAATAATATAAAATTGGTTTTTTGGAAAGAATGGTAAGAAGGGAAGGAATAGAAACAAGAAATTAAAAAATACCTCTAAATCTATCCAGAATTTTAATTTGATCGATAGTGTGTATAGATGGTGAAAGACCTATCATTATCATCATTATCATTGTTATCATCATTGTTATCAAAATAGAGATTCAATTATATAATTATAAAGTAAAATTTAAATTTTACCTCCATGAACACAGAATATTCTATCATCAATTACAACAGACAAGGTCAAATAATCAAACATATCGGTAAAATATTGCCAAACATTAGGAGTTCCGTATTTTCTTACGCATTCGGTGTAAAATCCATAGGTCTATTTTTACATTTCAAGTAATAAAACATGTACATATAAATTAGTCACAAATCATAAAGTGTCATTGATAAGATTCAACCTATTAGATTTTATTCAAATATTTATTCAAATATATATATATAATATATTACTTGTGTTACAGCTCTTGATTCATGATTCCCCCTAACAAGTTGAACTCTTTCCGGGTACCGTAACTTTAGACAAGTCAATAGTGAAATAGTTTCTACGCTGAATAGCCCTCGATCCACGTAATCGCCTGCAAGAAACCGAACAAGGAGGCGATTCATATTTAAGAACATTCGGCTGTACACCTTTTTTTATTATTAACACTGCTTTTTTTTAAAAAATTTTTAAAGATTTTGAATATTTCGCTGAAATCTCTTAAATGTACCAAGAAATAGGTAATTTGTATGAGGACAATAACCACCAATTCTAAATATTTCTATCAAATCGTAGAATTGCCTATATATAATTATTTTATTATTGAAAAAATAATTTTTTAGGAAATGGAATTAATTAATTGGAATGCCTCTTTAATAATAATAATATTAATATTATATTAAATAATAAAAAAATAATTTATTTTCTTTCATCTTTACCCGTGAATATCTCCAACAACTGTCACAGGAGCGGATATATGGACAACATTACTTTCACGCATTAGTAATTCTTTGGTCTTTTCACAAATTTCTCGAATAAGCGATTCAGCAAGTAACTGTTTCTGTAAAAGTTGAGAAATGCAAGCGTCAAGATCTAGTCCCATTTTCACCTATAAAAAAAATACGATTTATTTATTTATGTAATTGTGGTGGTGATTTTAAAAAAAAATTTTCAAATAAAATAAGGAAAAAAAATTTTTTTTTGTAAAATTTGTATTACATAAAATTAACTTTAAAAATCCCCCAAAAATAGCTAATACAACTAAGTGCAAGCCCCAACTTCACGAACGATTCTCGTTATGTTTTCGTAAATACTTTAAAGGTGCATTACAGGCTCTGTTTACATCTCTGCTAATAATAATAAGATGTACGCTCACCTACCGTAAAATACCCGACCACCTACGTCGTTGTAATGTCAAATGAAAAAAAGACCTTACTAAAAAAGTAACGTTTTCTTAAATAAAACCTTTTTTACTTTACTAAGTAGACTTGTACTGGATATCAAAATCTCTAAATTACAAAAGCTTCGAAAGGCTTGGTATGGTATTAATGGAAACATTTAGCAAATAGTCCAAAAATCAAATTTTCAATTGGAATCTTTACATGCAATAAAAAGTCATTGTAATGTATATTATTTCATTAATAAAATGTGCTCAACGTAATGGATTACATACATCTACAATACGATGTCAGCATAAATTAATTCGTGAAAAGGGTATCCGACTGCCCCGTAATTTTATTATATGGGACATGAACACTTGTATTACCGAGAATTTCTAATCTTTAAATTTATTATTTGCGTTCAAACGAGATCATACTCCACAGAGGCATGAGTATTCGGGAGAAATAGGTTTAAAGTATACTTTAAGTCTAAAACTACATTTTTAAACAATTTTAGGCCCCTTTGTTCTTAATATTATAGTTAGCTTATGAAGGAACAATTTTTTCATGTAAATTTTATTAAAATTGATCATCCGTTTTTATATTTGCCAATATTTTTTCGTGACACATTCCACGACTATTTCAGGGATAAAAATTTTCTTGTGGTGGTATATGGGTATATGGAACTACTCCTATATAAAAGAAATTCATTTACATCAGATCTGCCATGGAACCCAAAAATTATAGTAAAGGAACTCTCACACGAATAGCCCATTGTTGTGGAGTTTCATTGGGTCGAATAAATGACAATGTAACATATAATCTTTCAGTGCAAAGAGGCATTCGATTTTTTCATCATTATATCCATAATAATGGCTAATTAACGAAATAACATATTTCATAGAAGAGGGTTGTATCTAAGTATCGATAACCAAAGAATAAATCTTGATAATGTTATTGAAAACCAGAGAAGCCATGCATGAATGGCAAATAAATACCCGAGGAAGTCCAGAACAAGGAACAGTAGAGTTAAGATTAAAATTGGAATATATGAATGCTGGCGGAGAAGCTCAATTTGCTAATGCTGAATAATTTTTCTGTATTAAAAGACAATAATGTATAATCGTACATTGATTGCGAAGTAGAAAATTCGAATAAAAAAACCTTATTTTTCCGATGCATACATACACCACGTACCCACACACCCATATACAAAGTTAAAATCTAACATGAGAAAATTTGTTTTTTTATTGAGTAATGTATTATATAATAAACCATACATACCTGTGATATAATTCACATAAGTAAATTGTGAGCCATGATCTCATCACGTAATATTATGAATTACATATTTATTTTCAAGAGGACCTCGGACAATTATAATTGAATTGGTATTAACAAAATTGGGTATAAATTGGCATTTTTTGAGGAACTGGTATGTAAAAACAGGGTGGAGATAAAATAACTGGTATGTAAAAACGAGTTAAATAAATTCTGTTTGATCATATTGTTTGTACCAGGGTTGGCAAATGTGCGGTCTATTGGTGGTCCATTGGGTCCATTAATGTAACACTTTAACCATATTTCGATCGAGCCTACGATGTAACCCTAGTTGTTATTATCTTTAAATAGCATTCTAGATTCAGTGGCAGAAGTCTTGATGGTGTCAATTTAGTATTTTATTAATGGTAATGGCCAGTCCAAAATCCATCTGCCAACCCTGGTGCAGATCGTAATACTAATCCCACTTCAACCCCATTCTTTAATGGTTTTGATCGTCAATTTTCATAAAAAACATACAATCCAACGAGATGGTATTGACATCTCGTATATAACTACTTCATTATCTGTAAAAAATTAGAGAATATTAGCCTTACACAGCATGAATATTTTCGAAGTTGGCAATACATGTAGTCCATATAATTTCAATATACTTAAACCCGTACCTGCACCACCATACTTCCTCACAACTCTATTAAAGATAACCTTCAATCTTAATTTTGTCATGAAAATAAGTGCGTATGATTACGTTGATTTAGTGGTCCACTGACTTCACCAACGGAAAACTCAAGGTCAGTTGATTTTATAGACCAGATGATGTCGATTTTTCGGCCAGAATTACTATCTTCTTTATCATCTTTTCCCGATTGCGATCTTCTGACGAAGCGAACAGACATTTTTACCACTAAATGAACATACATTATAATTTAAAAAGGGAATCAAATATTCAGTTAGTGTAGAGAAGGACGTTCACAACAGATCGTCCACCGTACATTAGGGCTAGTTATCTAATTGGCAACTTTCATAAGTTGTGGCCACGAAGTGCTTCCAGTTCTCTATTTACCAAATTCCTAGTGGCAGATATACAACAATTCAACAACTCGGCGAGAAGAAAAAACCTCATCTTTCAAGATAATTTAAATTGATTATTTTTCTTTAGTATGGTAAATAATTGTTTTGTTTAAAAGAAATATAAGAATGAATTTATTACTATGCATTTTTTTTATATTAATATTTTAAAATTTATTTTTAAATTGATTTTTTTAAAGAAAATTTTGGTTGCGAATTTATCTAATTTTTTCACCAATTATAATCATGATGATGTTATAAAGTTAAATATCGTGTAAAAAAATCAAATTTTTGCCGCCTAGCTACTTTCACGTGATATTTTCCCACTCAAAATACCAGTTATTGTTTTGTTGCACGACATGTTTGATAAATCAAGTACAATAAAAATGAGCTCAACAAACGTAAAAGAGCCTATTGAAGAAATTAACACAAATTCAACTCAAGGGCTAACAATTCTACGCTTGAAACGTAAAAGAAATGAAGAGCCTTTAGATGCTCTTGGTAATTTATTATATATATATATATATATATAAGGCATTATACAATTACGGTAAATGCATTCCTAATTCATTATTATTACTGCTACTATTGTTATCGCTATACATAGTCGTTGAACAATTGTTAAGGAACGGAGTTGAACATGGCAAGAAAAAACCTAAAAAACGAGGATCTATAGATAAACAACAATTTTCGCCATTAACAACAACGACTGAACAAGAAGGTATTTATCGAAAAAAACTTTTCAATGATATTTATTTTAAAAGCATTAATCATATCAAATCAAAATTATTAAAATATGTTATTATTATATCTATTATATAGTCAAGTCTCCACTAAAAGAATCATCGGTGCCATTTATGTTTAGATTTGCTGAAACTGTTGAGAAAGTTAGCTTTAATGATTCGATCAAAACTCGGCAATTACAGGTAAAAATAATAGTGATTTCTTTTATATGTATCATTTTTTTTTAGATCTTTGAAATATTTCTTTTGATTTAATATTATTTTTATACTGATCATTATTATTACTATCATGATTATTATAGGATCGTATTTCGAAATTAATTTCTAGCAAACATAATGTAATAAAAAAATTTGAAACCAAAAAATTTCGTGAAGATCAAATTACAAAATTTAATGAGAATAGACGTAAAGAAAGATATAAAGTTATTGATGGAAATAGACAAAAAGGAATTGAATCTGTTTTCACGTAAGTTTAATATTAATATTAATATCATGGTGGTAGATTATAATAATAATAATAAACAAAATTTTAAATTTTAAAGTGAAGATAATGAAACTGAAAATGAAACAATTCATGATATATTTATGATGTACGATGCTGTTAAGGAAGAAAAACCTAATAAGAATATTGAGGAACCAAAGTAATTTATTAAAAAAATTTTTTTTGATTTAAATCAAGTAATTTATTTACTATATATATATATATATATATATTGTATAGGATAATTAGTGATAATGAGTCTGATATCATGTGTAATTTCATTCCTTTGGTTAAGCAATATCTCACAAGTATGTAAAGTTATATGAATATAGTTGTGATTTTAAAATATTAATGATTTGTAATTATAATAATGATGATAATAATGGTTTCTTAGTTCAAGAAGATGATAAAAAAAGTGAAGATAAATCAGATGATGAGGATTATGTTTATGATGTTTATTATCAAGATGATTCTACAATGTTAGATGATGAAATTCAATATCAAAATTTTGCTACTTTGTAAGTTTTTTTTTATAATTCAAAGTCTATAAAAAAAAACAAAAGATCATTGTCATTATTACAGTAATAAATATTAATATCAATATATAGAACCTGGTTCGGTGGCGAAGAAAATCAAGTATTTGTAAAAGAAACAAAGAACCAAGAATTATATGAATATTCCGACGAAGAAGATTCAAACGGTCTGGAATTATTTTATCGGATATTTATGTAACCAAGTAAAAATTATTGACGGACATTATTATTTTTTTATAAAAAATTTATAGCTGAAGACTATTATACACATGATTATCCAGAAGAAGATAACGAAGGTGACTATGATTACGAGTATGATGATGATGATGATGACGATGACGACGATGAAAATCAGAAATATGGTAATTATAATAATAAATTTATTAATAATCAAATTAATAAAATTAATAAAATTATTATTTTTCAGATGAATCAAATGATGATTATTCATCAGACGAGCAGGATTATTACTATTAAATTAGAATTTAGAATGGCTTTTTAAAATAACAATAATCAAAAATTGCAATAATAAATATAATAATAACATTGCTATAATTAATGTGCCCCGAATTTATTTATTTTTTATATATGTGATGTCAAAAATACTTTATATATTTCATCTAAAGCTTCCATAGTCATAGAATCTCCATCACTTAACTTCAAAGTATTAATTGAATCTTTAACATAAATGGGCTTTCTCATACCAACCAGCACACAACCAATATTTGAATTGGCTAAATAGATGCGTAAAGCTTTGATAGATAATGGTGAATGGAATTCTTTTTCTTCAGATTCCAAGTTTAACGAAGGCGAAACAATTGATAATAAAGAATCAAGTTCATTATTTGTTTGAAGCAAATTTAAATGTGAATAATTGATGATTGATGATATTAATAATTGTGATTCCTAATTAATTTGAAGTTGAGAAAAGTGTGTTAATTAAATAAATATGATAGTCTGTATTTATTATTATTGTTGTTGTAAATTAAATCAATAACCTTTTTATAATCAATGATCCAATTTTCTAATCTTAATCTTTCTTCTGAAGATAAAGTAGTAATTATATTGCTATTGTTGATCAAATTTTGTAATTGATTTAAATCATTATTAATATAAAGTTTAACATTCTTATTTAAATAATGTTTAGTTGCAAAATAATTTTTTGATAATTTAGATAAATTTTCTGATAATATTTGTGACCATACAAATTTTGTTGTAATTAAATTATCCAATGAATCTGACAACAAAAATAAATAAATATACTGTAAGTAGTATACATTTATACTTTAAGCCTATAAAAATATATTATATATATATATATATTTATTATATTTACATGACTCATTCAACTCATTTTCCAATTGATTTAAATTCTTGAATGATGTTTCAAGATTATTTACAATTTCTCGTTCAGCTATAATATGATAATAGTGGTGATTGTGATGACGATGGTGATGATGATAAATTATTAGATTGATAATTTCAGATTTAAAAATTTTTCAACATATAAAAATTTTTTTCAAAAAATGATTTTTACATAAACTATTTTTATTGTTTACCAATATTCTAATTGTCTCATCAGGTGCGATGGCATTTAATGGACGATTTGTAAAAACAAATATGTCATTTGACTAAATAAGTAAAAAGGATTAGAGAAAATTGGAGATTAGATTTGATATTAAAAATATGAATTTAATAAATTAATATTTTTCTTCCAGTTTTTTTACCTCGGCAAATTGTGCAAGAGAATAATAATCCTGTTCAATTTCAATTTGCATTATTAAATTTCTTTCAAGTAGATTAAATGGTACTTGTATTGCTGTGAAATTTTTCTTATTAATTGATGACATTTTCTCATATATTTTTGGTAAGGATATATGATCAATTGATGATGTTTTAGCCATGGAATTTGAACATATTCCATATCCTTTGATTCTTCCTAACAATTTAAAAAAAGTCCGCTAATATGAGATTGGAATTGGAAATAGAATACATTCTAACTAGAAATATAATAATTCTATAAAAAAAATAATCATGAGAATAGAAACCTTTAGAAACTTCAGTGTCCAAGTAATCAAACGCTTTTAGAATGTCATCATATAAACGATTAATTGAATAATGCTATTGTTATAAAAAAATTATTTATATATCTATATAACTTTATACAAAATTTATATAATACGCGTATAATATGTACCTTATTCTTTGCTTGTAACATTCTTTCAGGATTATTTAACATAAATATATCAAGACAATCCAATTGTAATCTTTTCAAAGAATCATTTAATTGTTCACATAAAAATTTTGGTGACATTGAATGAAAAGATTGATTATTGATTTTAACAAAAGAATTATCCAATGATGCTGTTGTTGTTGTATCCAATGTTTGAAAATAGCCTGCTTTAGAAATTACTACTAAATCCTTTTTTTTTTTTAAGTTGTAAAAAAAGATGAATTATATTTCCATTTAACGATCTTATTATGCTATTGTTATTGTTATTGTTATCATAATCTTACATCAGGTTTAACAGAACCTTTACTAAAAAGTTCTTTTAAAACTTTTCCAATGACTTGTTCCGATTCACCATTTTCAAAATTTGAGCTTGTATCTATAACATTAATTCCATTATTTATCGAAAGTCTAAGAGCTTGATGTGATTCTTCATCTTTATGATTAATTCTATAACTACCAAAACCTAAACGTGAAACAAGTTTATTGGATTTTTTAACGATTGAGTTAGGAATTGAAAAATTTTTTTCAAAAAATTCATTATTTATCACGTTAGTACTATAGAATTTTTTTTGGTTATATAAACATCTTTTGATAACAACTCTACTATTCATTTTTGCTTAATAAATTTTGAATATTTTTTTTTTATATGATTACCATCGCGTGACATAGCAAAAAGATAATCAATCATAAAAACTAGTGATTAGAATTTTATGAATTAGACATCTCATCGAGAGATTTCAAATGGTAGTTGTTTGGACTGAGTTTAATAATTAAATTTATATAAATTTTTTTTAAATTATATCAAAATATTCTATTTTCTAATATCAATAAAATGAACAATAATTATATTATCCAAAAACCTTATTATGAATCAACTGTTATATTATCTTTCAATAAACTAAATATAATAATAATGGAGTTAATAACACATGCAACAAAACCAGACAAAGTGAACATTGGTGTTACCAAAGATTTCAGGGATCAAAATTTAGTCGTTTGTAATGTGATTAATGGTAGAGTAATATTAAATTATTTGTAATGATAATCAATAATTGATGTTAATGTCTCAATTTGCATATTGCAAATACACAAAACAATTGAGAATGAAATTGTGATTCTTATCTGTATGTGGTATAACTACAACCAAAAGTATGTTTTTTTATAACATTGTAATGCTTATATAATTTCATACCATCAAGAATTACTTAAACAAAACAGTGCTAACAGCCTTAGCCATTGGAAAGAAAATAGCAAATTCTGAGAAAATAATGTCAACGATATAGAATTTAATTACATCTCTGGTGAAAAAAGTAATAATATATTTGGATCAATTGAAAAATCACATGGTGAACCATCAAGAACCAAACCAGAAACACACTAGTGATGGCAATGAACAAAGAGGAAGAAAGAGTAAGTTTATGAAAACAATAATGACAAAAATGACATTGTTGTGATAAAAAATTTCATGGAAAACATGCCAATAAGGATAATGATTGTAAAAAAAAACAAGTGTTTATTATTTAAGAATTATTGATTTAGATGAATCTACAAAATCAATGGAAATTTAGAAAAACAAATAGCTCTATTAGAAAAAAGATTGAATTAAATTTAAAAGAGAGCAAATTGATGATATTGAAAATTAAAAGAGATGAGTTTGTGCAGTAATTTTAAAATGAGTACTGTAAGATCTGAGCAGTAGATATTGTACCATGGATAAGTATAGCACTTATTACAAGGATGTATTGTACTCATCTATACTTTCTATACTTGTATCTTTAATATAAGTACCAATTGTACTATATTCATTTTAACATTACTGTATTGTACTTGCTGCAATGATAGTATTGTGCTGAACATGCATATAATCATATTCTTTGTATAAATAAAACAAACCCCAATTATAAAAAAAATAATGGGTATTATTTGCAATTTACTTATGAAAGTTGGTCAACAGAAGATGAATTGAACACTTTATTCAAGAGAAAAACTGATAATAGATGTGAAATTGAGCAAGATATTAATTGTAATTTATTTTATTTGAATTATTAACCAGTTGTTTTTATAATAATAATAATTTTCATTTTTTCAAATTTAAAGTATGTTCTATAGCAATGATTAATAAAAATAAGAATTAAATCTACAAATCGACATAATGAATTATTAACTTACAATTTGTAATGAAATTGTATGTTAAAGTAATCTGATCCCAATAAATTCAGCCAACCGCCCTTGTTTTGTATCCATTCCTCCAGTAGTTGGTAAGCCATAAAAATTCAACAAATTGTTTAAGTTTTGAGATTTATATTTAAAAAAAATATTATTTGTAAATTATTCAAAAAGGAGAAAGAATATGCTAGTGTACAAACCGGTTAGTTCTCGTAGTTGAGATATGTCAGAGGGAAAACTTGTTGGAAATTGGTTCAGTAAGTTGGGAGGCACTTCAATATTTGTAGTTGGATCAGTAATTCTTGAATTTAACGATCTACAAAGAGACCGGTTATCCCTAAAATATAAAAGGTTCATTCAATTGTTATTTTTAGTAAAAGGGACATAGTATGATTATGGGAAAAAGACTTACAAAGATTGGATATTGGTTTGAATTGCATTTAATTGTGTTGTAAATTGAGTTGTCATTGTATTGAGGGTATTTCGGATAGCCACAAGCTGATTTGTTATGTTAACAACAGGTATATTTGGTATTAAAGGCACTTCCTGTGCTAACATGTTAAGACTTTGAGAAATATTATTATAATTAGGTTGTTGTGCCTAAAACAAATTACAAAGAGAGGTGAGGTGAGGCTTGAATCAGAAATTATGTGCATTATTTAATTAAAATTTACCATGATTTATTTAAAAAAAATAAAAACGCGTTAATTTGTCACTAAACATTTATCATTATCATGATGGAAGTTTGATTTCATTGGCTAAATTTTGTGACGATCTCCCTTCCAGACATCACGCAAAAATTAAATCTGAATTTTTGGTGATACGAAAATTTTATAATTTATTTATGATAAGAAAATGAGTGTTTTAAGACGTTTTAAGGCTACAGATTTATTTAAAGTCAATAATATGTAAGGATTAAGTTTAATTAATTGATTTTTTGTTTTTTCTTGTTTTTTCTTTGGAAATAAAAATTAATAATTTTTAAATTTTTTTGGAATTAAGAAATTTGGATGTTTTAACTGAAACAGTAAGGAAATATATCCAATATATATAATTGATAAAGTTATTATTGTTGTATAAAAATTAATTAGTTGATATATATATATATATATATATATATAATTTAGTATAATATTACCTTTTATCTTTCATATTTATCAAGATGGCCAGATCTTTTTTGTTTGCAAGAGTCATCAAATGGGATAATAATGGGATATGGTTAATAATAAGATTATTAATAAATAATTAGATTTTTATTTTTATCTTTAAATATTTTTAGATATATATTTTTATTTATTATTATAGTTATGGGCAAAGCAGAAGGAAGAGGTAAAGAATGGCATGGACATGTAACTGCCATTACTGTTGCACCAGAGTATAGACGAATAGGATTGGCTGATAGAATGATGCAATTGCTGGAAAATGTTTCAGAAAACGTGTTTGTGGTTTTTTTTTTAATTATAATTAGAAAAATTACAAATTTTTATAATTGCAATTATTAAAGTTTACAATAATATTTTTGTTAAAAAAAATCAGGTATAATGGATATTTTGTAGATTTATTTGTTCGTGTTTCAAATATTATTGCAGTTGGAATGTACAGAAAATTTGGATATACAGTTTATCGACGTGTTACTGGTTATTATTCTTCTGGTGATAATAGTGAAGAAGATGCATATGGTAAATATTTTAATTAATTATATGATATTTTTTATTTAAGGAGAAATTGCATCATTTTAATGGTTTTTTTATGTAAAAAATTTTTTTAAGATATGAGAAAACCATTGAGAAGGGATGTAAACAGAGAAAGCGTAGTTGAAAATGGAGAATTAAATTATGTCAGACCCGAAGATTTATAAATATTATTATAAAATATATTAATAAAATTTCATGGAAAATTACATGTCAGGCCATCAAATATTTATTTCAAGCATTACTTTATAACATCCCATAATACATTACTTCTAACCTCTAACCATATCCAGAGTTTTAACAATGGAGTGATACCAATAAACCATCAATGATATCATCATTTTGTGTTTTTTAATACCCTCAATCTCTCTTTTACTAGCTTTTTGAGCACCAATTTTCTTAAACTTGGTAAAGAACTTTTTAATAAATTCATATTAGGACCCATCTGTCTAACAATACCTTCTAATAACAATACTGGTATAACAATATGTACAAAATCCCCTTCTAACTTTACATGATGGTTCCTCACTATTCTTAAAACATCTGTTAAAACATCTGATATTTTATTTTTCCAATTTGAAGGTTTTAGCTTTAACATTCTTCAATACTAAATATTGGATTTCAATGCATAGATTAACCAATTCAGGCGTTTTGGGCTTATCAATCATAAGTATCCCCATCGAATTTTGCTATTCCATTAAACAAATCCAAGGAATTACATCTTATTCAAGTTACTAGTCCAATATGATTTGTGGTTGATACTCTTCATTACACACTCTCATCAATTTCTCTCTCTAACCATTGGTTCCTGACATGACTAGGATTTTGTAACCATATAGCAATGCTTATTCATCTTTTAATGCTTCATCATAATTGCTGCTGCTGCTATTATCATTGCTTTCATATTTCAAGTAAGATTTGACCAGTCATAAGAATATATATTTGGTTTATAAAATCTAATCATAATGTTACCAGTGTTCATACAAATTATAATTATAAGCATATTCCCAAGTCATTATTATTATAGAAAATGAAATAAACAAATGTAAATAGATGTGTAAATGTTAAAAACACGATTCTCTCAAACAATAATAATAATATCAGAAACGCTATTAATTAATTATAAATAAATATATCAGTGAACATCATATCTTAAAAACAATCACATATATATATTAAACACAAGCAATAGTAATCAATGAATCTTATTCATATCAACGATTCTGCTATAATAAGCTCCAGAACAATTCTCTAAAAATAAACTAATGGGTAAAGCATCTTTATATTCCTCAATTAACCTACTTTTGGACATCTGATCAAAGGAATGGGAAACTTTATTGCATATTTTTCCTTGAAATTTTTTTGAAATTCTAGTAGATTATATGTTTCAATCCTTAAACTCAATTGGTTCTGCACTTCAACACTTCTTCAAGGAGTGATAGCAATTGCATCTGAAAATTTGACAATTCACATAGTTTATATCTTATTGATGGTCTATAAAACCAAATTATTTATATTGAAAGTACCTTCTCAGTTACCGACATATATTTATTATCTGTGTCACATTATTATCGTATACTGCGACAATATATTTATACATGTCATTACTCTGCTGACCTTTACGTGTGTTTATAGTATAGTTTCCATATCGTAGCCTAATTTATATAGTAAAGAATTAATATTTGTTGAATTATACCATTCTTTGCTGGTTTATTAGATGTAATAATGATATTTTTTGAATTAAATTCCACTTTTAATTTCTACTGTTAAAGGTGTTTTATCGAGTAGTCTTAGAATGAAGTCATAACTTAACCATCCATAAAATCCATAAAATATTGCCCATTCCTTATTACAACATCCATTCCATTTTATGATCAACCCAAAAACTATCCGGGAGATTTTCACACAGTGTTGATTTTCCAACTCCAGATTGTCTTGACCATGGGGATATTACATTTGTTTTAGAATTTCTTTTTTCTTTAAATTTATCATTTGCGCAGTTTTGAATGTTGTTAAAATAACGAACAAATTTGAATGATAAAACAAATTATGGAGAAAAATATATACATCGACATCCATACACATCCATAATGAGCATCTAAAGTTGATGCCAGCAACTATAACATTTAATTAGCAACATAATAATAAATAATTACCAGTTATATCACAATGTACATACATATTTGTATCATCCGCTTCAGATTGCTTCAAGCCAGATCGCAACTTTTGGTCACTGGCATTTGTCAACCTAAATGCATCATCTGCTTCAGATTGCTTCAAGCCAGATCGCAGCTTTTGGTCACTGGTATTTGTCAACTATAAATAGTTAAAATCTATTTATTACATAACTTGGATGGCTTTTTTTTTGGTATTGCCTTCAGCAAAACCACCCGAGTTTAACCTTTATAAGAGACCATTTACAAGCGAGCTAAAACCCACAAAGAACAGCTAACATATTTAAAGAATTTAACCCTAAGGACATAAAGCGTAAACTTAAAATTTCAAGCAATGAATGGAAACGCACCTTGCCAGTTATAGGATAACTAGTAATATGGGCAATCAATGTCGCCCACCTTTTTTATTAAATGTTCTATGAGTTATTACATGTATTTGGGTCACTTTTCATTTACATACTTTATTTTATAATACCCTGTTAAACCAAATTTGTCAAACCTAATACTAATACTAATTTTAAACGGAATAACGGGATTGAATATGTGGTTTGTAGCCTAGTACTAGACCCTATAAATTATGCGTGCAAAGTTTGATTTCCTATATCTTGTTTTTTCTTTTTCAAAATAATCAAATTTCAATTAATAATAACAATAACATAGAAAATCAGGAAACAAGAACTTTTGCATGCATATTCTACAGGACCTAGGCTACAAGCTATGTATACTTATTATGTGTATTTTTACATAATTGGTTCTCCGGATTTTGCTGCACCATTTGATATAATAAAATCTATTTGAATCTACTAAAACAAATAAACAAAGGATAAATTTATTATTCATCAAAAAAAGAAATATGATTGAAATTGACGTATCAAAAAAATTTACAACCTTAAAAATCATTAAATTTTATACATTTAATGATATTATTTTTAATAAATTCTCTAAAAATAATGTTGTTTAAATTGACTACTTGTGTGATCGACTCAATCATTAACACCAAAGGAATAAAATTAATTATTTCGGACAAAGGATTTGTTACTCGATTATCTTATATGGAGAATATTGAATAATTAAAAAGCATGAATGGATGAAAATATTTTGAGCCTTGAAATTTCTTTGTTCACTTTGTCTGGTTTTATTGCAGTATGTCCCAAATAATAACGTTCAGTTCTGTTACAGTATGTCCCCATAAATAGATTTATTTTTGATGATAAAATTATTGGAAAGTTATAAAAACAACCAAAAAGTAAGTGACTCTAAAGCGGCAAAAATCATTAAAAAACAAATATGAATCTAAAGAAAGTGCTAAAAGTAAAATATTTATTTTTTATTACCGTTACCACTTTGCATCTTACATTTTAGTGTCGATACTTAAAATTTATTTTCACCTTGTTTTTTTTTATTAATCCCACGTTCTCAAAAAATCATATTAACATTCAGCTACTCGTAAAACATTAAAAAATGATCGATTATTGATGGTGATAGTGTTAATGTGGTATCAATATTGTTCTGTTCGAAATGAAGTTGCTTATTGATTCTAAGATAAAAAGGGATTAAAATTCAAGTAATTATTCAAATAGTAGTGATGACGCATCTATGAAGGATAATCTAGCAGTAGTGCCATGCTTCAGTTCTAGCGTAATAGGTTAATTGATTTAAAATGAAAATTTTTTTGGTGTCCAAAATGTTTGGAATAAAAAAAAAAAAATATATTGATTGAAATACAATAATAAAATAATAATTAATTATAAAGCAAATTAAAAAGAAAATAAATCACATAATTGTACATGATTCTTAAATTCTTAAAGACTCCTCCAATATATCAAGACTATCAATAGGCATACTACAAGTGAAATTTTCACAAATATGCACACTATTAATGCTGTTTCCATCATTTTCTCCGATTGATTTAACAAAACTTTGAATAGTTTCATTAAATTTAAATAAATCCAAGATTTCTTGTTGATTTTTATCTTTTGTTATTAACAATAATGTTTTACTAGGTACAAAATGATTATTTATACACTGAATAAATTTTTGAATTTGTGGATCGTTTTTTTCTGCGCCTAAAACCATTATCTATAGAGGGGAGGGTGAATAGGATGAAAAGACTGCCATTTTGTTTTAAATGAAATAATAAATTATTATTAATTTTATTTTACCTGTTTAATTCCTTTGTAATATAAAAATAAACTTGACATCATAAATGGCATGGCGTGAGGAGAATTGTTTAATCTTCCAGCAAATAATTTTAATGTCTCTTCAGCTTTATTTATATAATCGGTGTTACAAAGTATGTTTCCCAGTCTTAAAAGATTATTAACTGCCACCGAGTTTCTGATGATTATAAAATTAGAAATGGGGAATTGGGGTTAAAAAAAAATAAAGTGAAATATATATTTATCTAATAATGATAATAATGTTAATGATAATGAATTACTTACGCAGAGGGTTCTGCGCCATCGTAATCTAATAAAAGAAGCAACGAATCAATCAGTAAATAATTAATCAAGGGAATTCAACAAATAAATTTATTACCTTCTTTCAATCTAACCAAGATGTCACTAGTTCCTTCTGCAACATTAAAAAATCCACCACCGCCTTCTTTATCATAAAATAATTTATTTTGAGTTTCTTGCAATTCAACTGCCCAACTAAGATACGATTCGTCAAATGTTGATTGATATAAGTCAATTAGAGCTGCAATAAAAAAACTATAAATATATAAAATTAATAAATATTTATATTACAATGTAAAATAATATAATACTGATATTTCAATTAGAAATGTCTATTACCTATAATCGTCAGCAAATCCTTGCACATTACTTGGACCTTCTCTAAAACTTCTTAATAAAATTTTCTTGTCATTGTCATACATATTTTCTTTAATGAATTTTGCTGAATTCCTTGCTAAATCAAGGAAGTTCGAAACTTTTAATATGTCATAAGCTTTTGATAAGCCAGAAATCATTAAACCTATTTAATTAATAATCAAAATTAATATTGTGCATTATGTATTATAAATATAAATCATATATATAATTTAATAAATAATATCAAGTTTACCATTCCAAGCTGTTATAATTTTATCATCAAGATGAGGTTTAGGTCTTTTTTCAAATCTGTATTTTGCAAGTTTTTGTTTTGATTCAGTTAAAATTGTTTTTAACTCGTCTGCCGAGATATCATATTTTTTTGATGTTTCTTCAAGTGAATAACGTTCAATTAAAACATTCTATAATGGACAATTTTATTAATATAAATATGCATACAAGCTATACAATAGTGTAATTAAAATATAAAAAAATAACAGTTAAATTAACAAATAAATAAATAAACTGTTACCTTATTTTTTAATTCACCTTGAATATCTTTTTCTGGGTCAACATTACCATTTGGTTTTACACCAAAATGCCAACAAAATATTTCCGAATCCTTTTCACCTAAAAGTTTTTTAATTTCCAATTCTTCCCATACAGCAAATGCCCCTTCTAAAAAATGTATGCGAATATACAAATAGATATTTTTATTATTATTTTGAACTGCATGTATTCTATTATAAAGTTATAAACAAAATCTCACCCAATTTATGCTCAGCTCCTTCATATGGATAAGAATCAGCATCTTCAGCAGAATAAAATCCACCGCACTTAGAATCTCTTAAATCTCTTTCCACATAGTTAATAATATCTCTTGCAACCTTTACATCATAATAATAATAAGATGATGCACTATTATTGTTGGTATTATTTTAAAAATATATCAACGTTACCTCTGCATAATAATCATCCTTAGTAATTAAATATACGTCAACATAACTCATTAGCAATTGTGCTTGGTCATAAAGCTGAATAAAATAAATCAATAATTTAAAACCAACAATTTTGATTAATTTAATCATCAAGTTTATTTATTGTTGTTACCATTTTCTCAAAGTGGGGAATGTGCCAATATTTATCCGTCGAATAGCTAAATATAATAAATAATACTCATTGAATAACTTATTATTATTTATTTATTTGATATTTTAATATCAAAAATTACCGATGAAATCCGCTTCCTATATGGTCTGTGAACATGGAAATAATTTAGTTTAATTTTATTTGAGAGAAAATATTTGTATTTATTTAATTGAATTTATGTATTTACCATGGATCCCTCCCATGGATATTTTCTAATTTTTAAAAATATTTATTAATTAAAAATTTGATATTAATTTTGACAGGAGAGAAATTTTACCTTTAATGTGAATTTAACCATTTCCAAAGCCTTTTGTGCATTATTTTTACGATTCTCAACAGTTGATTTAAATCTATTAACGTACTCATCTTCATTATGCAAATCTTTAAAATCAATCCCTAATGAATTGCCGATTCTTTTAATTTCATTAATTGATATTGTCGGGTAATTTTCATATGATCTATCAAGTTCAGACATTTGATAGTAATAATAACGTAATAAGAAGTTAAGGTTAACAGGTGTTGGGAATTTTGGCTCATCTAAGTATAATAATATGAGTATAATAATATTATTATGATGGATATAGAGATATATATAATATTATTATATTTAAAAATGAAAGATTACCATCAAATCCACCTTGGCTTTCATCAAACAAATTCAAATATTTTTGATATAGTTTATTGGCAATTTTAACATTTAATTCTTTAGAAAGCTCGCCTCCTTCTGATTTATTCTTTAAATTGAAGAAATCAATATGATTATTATTGTTAATTAATAACAAAAAATTTTTAATAAAATAAGTAATTTATATGTACTAAATTTTGTAATTGTTGAATTGTTTCTTCGCCAGCTTTTCTTAATTCGTCAGGTTTTTGTTTCCACCTAGAATATTTATAATGGCGCAAAATGTTATTTATTTATAGAGAAACTTATAATTAACTTAATTTAAATATTTACAATGCTGATATTCTTTTAAGAATGGATGGAAATCCTGGTCTAAATAGCAATAAAATAAACAATTATTAACCAAAAATTATTAATAAAAAGAATCAAATTATCTCATTCAATAATATATGCCTTCCAAACTGATCTTGTGCAGGCCAATAAGTTCCACCAAATATTGCTTATAGAAACAATATAAAATTAAATAAATACAGAATTCATATCATATAGTTATAAAAGACATTTAAATTTAGTACTTACGATATAATTCAGGCTAAAATTAGACAATTTATTAAATATATTGATTAATTGAATCAATCTAAATTAAGGACAAGATAATGAAATTCAATAAATAAATCTGAATGCTTACAGTCAGAAATACTGACATAGGCCATCCACCATGCCCTGTCAATGCTTGAACATAAGTCTAAACAAATCAGAACAGAACAGAACAAAATAGGATCAGACAAGATGTCAGGTTTATATAATTTTTTGCTAATTAATCTAATGAATGACATTACCATATACATACGATCAACATCGGGCTGGACTTCTCTAATATTCATTATGTATAATATTAAACTTTTTAATATGATCTTGATTGATTAATAATTAATCATAATTTTTTTTGTTGAAATTTTACCTGTCAACTATATAATAATTTAATAATTTGAATTTTTTTATTTCTCAGATTAATATTTTCATTCATATTGATAATTAATTGATACAGATCAGAAATTAAATTGATTACCCTTAACATTAACAAAGTTTTCATTCATCAGCTTTGCGATAGATTCATTTTCAAATGATTCATGAGCCTACAATAGCAAATAAATAATATTTAATAAAAAATTGAGATAATAAAATAAAATAATTTCCCCAAATAAGTTTATTATTATTTACCATCACATGACACCAACTTTATAATAATAATAAAATCGATCAATCAATAATCATTATTTAATATTAAGAATAAAGTTATTATTATAAAGCGAATATTAGATGACTTACTGACAAGTGCTATATCCGACACTTAAAAATATTAATTTATTTTCCTCCTTAGCTGTCTTAAACGCTTCCTTGCCCCATGGATACCAATCAACTTATTTAACAATTAACAAAAAGTTATTATTATTTGCTTGTAATTATAAAAATAGTTATCACTATTAATTTACCAGGATTTGTCGCATGTTGCTAATTAAAAAAAGTGAGTTAAAAAAAAAGAATAATAAAAAAATCTTTATTCATAAAATAAAAAAACTTTAAAACTTTACCAATAAATATGGACTTTTTTCGTTAGAAAGTTTATTTAATTTAGTAGACATCGTCTTAACAATAATCTTGTTATAATAATAAGTATTATTAAAATATTCTTTAATAAGATTATTTTTATTCTTGGTATTAAAATTAAGAAACGATTTTTTTATTAAATTCTTGAACATAAAAAAAGTTTATTATTTATTAATTAATATTAATAATACAATGACGGCCAAATTTTCAAGGCGGTGATCGAATCTCTTTCAGACCCTATTTCAAATATTTCAAATTCTGACGCGACTTATTATTATTAATGGCATATAGTAGTTGTACAAAGCACCTATTTTTTTTTCCGAAGCGCGAATCTTTTTTTAGACAAAGAGGTTATTTTATTAGTATTAGGGTCATTAGAAATTTATTTAAATGGAAAAGGACACAATTTAGCCCTTGCCTATTTTTCTATTTTGAAATTTTTTGCTTTACCCATAATTTCATATGGGGCATGCTGCAACAAAACCAGACAAAGTGAACATTGGTGTTAGAAAGATTTCAGGGATCAAAATTTAGTAATGTGATTATAATTATCAGTTTTATAATATCCCATCTTAAGTGATATATAGGATTACCCCTATATAAAAATAGTTAATATGAAACTCATTTACATCAGGTCTACTATGGAACCCAAGAATTATAGTACTATCAGAAGTATTTTGAAGAAAGAGCAAGGTGAAAAAATTGCTCCTTACATTTTCAAAATAAATGATACTCAGACACTGGAAGCTTATCTAAAAAAAGAAAG